AAAAAAAAAAAAAAAAAAAAAAAAAGGGCAGCCCTGCCTACACGTCCTCTCTCAGGAGCATCATAGCCTATTCCATTCAGGCTTTTGACTCCCAGCACTTAGGGGCAGTTAAGCTTGGCATGGTTTCCAGAAACTTAGATTTGCCAAACCTAGGAGTCAGTCTTCTGTTCTCATCTTGAAAATGAATTATTAAATTATATATATTTGGGTGGGAGCACTATTTTCCTTTTGAAGTCAGGGACCTCATGTTTTATCCCCCGTGACCACTGTTAATGCTTCTGTTTCAGTTTTAAGACGATAATCTCCTATATCGATGAGCAGTTTGAGCGGTACCTGCATGACGAGAGCGGCTTGAACAGGCGGCACATTGTAGATAATCGAGTGCACTGTTGCTTTTACTTCATTTCACCGTTTGGACATGGGTAAGTAATTGTTTACTGTGGAGAAATGCTTTACCACATGGGTTTGTAAGTGTTGCCCAAACTCTGTATTCTAATATAAGAATTAAGATAATTGAGAGAAAAAAGTTTTATATGTATTTTTCTTAAATAAGTGACACTTCTAAAATTAATTTTAGACTTAAGCCCTTAGATGTGGCGTTTATGAAGGCAATACACAACAAGGTGAATATTGTGCCTGTCATTGCAAAAGCTGACACCCTCACCCTGAAGGAACGGGAGCGGCTGAAGAAAAGGGTGAGTGAGGTTGGCCTCCTGCTCTCCCTCAGGGTGCAATTTGGGGGCATGGGGGATGAAGAAAGGAGGGTGTTTGCACCCTCAGCAGTCTGCTCAGGTGTCGGGAGGCAGGGCAGGAGGATTTTTCCTGCATTTTATTGGTGGTTTTCAAGGAGAACCTAACAGTTACAAATTTTAATTTTTTCCTTCATGAAGATAAATTTCTATTCTTTAAATTCTCCTTCTATTTAAAATGCTCTCGGCGAGTAGCAGTTGGTAACACACAAGTACATTTCATAGGTGTTAAATGACTCAAATATTCGAAATGTGATCTCTCCATGAAGTGTATTGTTTTATCTAAACACTTTACTGCAAATGACCCATACGAGGAGGTGTCTAAGTAGACTGGCTCCCTGTTCTGTTTGGGAACATAGCAGTTATCAGCCAGCGAAGCTCCTCTCCCCTCCAGCAGCTTCTGTGGTGCCCTGTTTTAGGGCCCTCTTCTGTGTATTTCTATAAAGCTCTTTATTGATTCTCCACTATATATTTTTTAATTCCTTTTTTCTGATTATATGCTCCTTAAGAAACATATGCTGAACTCTTAAAAATACAAATACCTAACTGAACATACCAGTACATGCGTGTAATCCCAGTTGCTGGAGCAGGTTGGGGGGGTACACCAGGCAGCTGAGGCAGGAGGATCACTTGAGCCCAGGAGTTGGAGGCCATCTTCAGCAATATAGCCAAACCCTATCTCTTCAAAAAAAAGTTTTTCAATAACAGAAATCCTAGGCTGGGTGTGGTGGCTCACGCCTGTAATCCCAAGACTTTGGGATGCTGAGGTGGGCAGATCACCAGAGGTCAGGAGTTGAAGACCAGCCTGGCCAACATGGCAAAACTCCATCTCTAAAAAAATTACAAAAATTGACCGGGTGTGGTGGCGGGTGCCTGTAGTCCCATCTACTCAGGAGGCTGAGGCAAGAGAATCGCTTCAACCCAGGAGGTGGAGTTTGTTTGCATTCCAGCCTGGATGACAGAGCAAGACTCTGTCCCAAGAAAATAAAAAAAAAGAATTTCTATAATTACCCATAGAAAGAAGAGCTGTTAAATGTATGTCCTTTTGAACATGGCCTGTGTTTTTGTTTTTACAGAATGAAATCACATAGTAATACTAGTCTGCCATTTGATTATCCTATTTAAAAATATTCGGAAGCATTCTCATATACAGCTCTACCCTAATTCTTACTGGATGCATAGCATTCCATTGCATGAATATACTGTAACTTGTTCAGTTTCCTGTTGATGAATATTTGGCTTACTTTTTGTTTTGCTCTGGCCCCTTTTCTTCTCTTACCAAATGCACTGTTTCTTTGCCCCTTGTTGTTCCTTTTTGCTATTGATGCCCTCTGCCTGGAACAGTCTTCCCTCAGATACCCATGTGGGCAACTCCTGCACTGAGCCCGGCGGTGCACACAAGATTTCCCATCTCCATCCCCTGCTCTGCTGGCAGCACTCCCCACACACTGCATGAAGTATTTCTCCAGTGTGTTTTTTGGCTTCTCCTGACCCCTGACTCAGGTCCTGAGTTAGGAGTCTGTTTCATTGACCTATGTATTCCCAGAGTTCAGAATAAAGTCTGGCACATGATAGCTTTGTTGCATAACTGTTGTAATGAACGTCGGCGCACATCTATCTTTTCACAACTGTGTGAGCCAAACTAATTCTTAGGAAATCAGTATACATTTAAAATTTTGAAAGATGACTAAATTTGCTGTGAAATAAGTTTGTAACAATTTATATTTCCAAAGTGTACTCTTCTCTACCCCCTATAACTGTCCTGGTTATGTTACCAGTTTTTGTAATGTGCTTCTCATCTGAGAAATTGTGTCTCATTTTGATTTGCGTTTCCTTGATTGGTGATGTGAGTGTCTGTCCTGGTGCTGTTGCCAGTTAGTGTCTTCTCTCAGGCTGCAGGGGTTTGGCTCCTGCTTTTTTATTGACTTAACCGATAGATGTTGACTATCACCTTGCAAATGATTTCACCTGGCTTGATGTTTGTGTTTTCATGTTTTTCTTGGTGCTTTTTTCCAATAGCAGTTTTTAAGCAGCACGTAGTCATGTTGGCAGCCTTTCCTTCGTTGTCTCAAGTGCCTGCCGGTTTTTTAGGAAGTATTTGTACCTTTAGAAGAACCCTGGAAGCATAGATGTTTTTACACTAATAAATAATTTAGCAATTCCCACTTAAGGGAACTTTACCTTTTATATTCTGTACATTAAATTTCTTTGAGGTAGAAATGGGGGTGGTGTCAGGATTAGAATGCTTTAATTTTAATCTCTAATCCTGTATGCAAAACGCGTAGAGCTTGTTCAGTTCTCGGATGTGGGCCCCACCTGTGAGGTTTGTGCGATTGGCAGCTCTGCTCCTGAAGCTTCCCTTCCTTGGCTGCTGGGCCACTGTGCTCACTTTGCTCTCTGCTGCTTTTTTCCACCTTCCTTTCTGATCCTTAAACGTCAGTATTTCTTAATATTATTTTGATCGCATTATTTCTTTGACTTGGCAGATTTGCCCTTCCAAGTATCTTATTTCTTGTTGTGAACCACGTGTGCCCACAGGAGTCCTCTTTTGCTCACTGATGAACTCCTGTCCTTCCAACTTTCCTGTCTCTTTAAATGGTCCCACAATTCTTCCAGTCACCCAGACTGAGAAATGTGTAATTATTTGTTATTCATCACTTTCTGACTCCTCTCCTCCACTTTTAAATAGTCGGCTTACTAACGAACTCTTGTCCCCTCCAAAGTATAAGCTCCATTTTAATGAGGCCAGCATAGGACAAAAGATGGGGTTGGCATGAATGGATAAAAGACCAAGAAAGGGGCCGTGAGTGAGGACAGGTGCGCAGGTTACTCTCACTGCGCAGTTTCTTCCGGAGATAAGATGGTTCCTCCCATGTAGAAAGGAGGGCCTTTTCTGCAGTGCAGACGTTGTGCTAAGAGCAAATCTCTGATCATTAAAGGCCCTTTTCAGGTCACATTAAGGATTTCCATTCTTAAAAACCAGGGATCAGATTCAGTGCAAAGTTTGAGGTCGGAATATTTTCTGCTCACATTGCTTTTGTTCTCTCTTCCCTTGATGCCCCAGGTACTGGTGAGACCAAACAAAACTGTGGCCTCCCTGGTGCCTGTTAGAGTGCCCACCATGTAGTGGGCATTTGAGTGCTGGGGTTTTGATTGATTGACTGATGAATGAATGCATATTTCAACTTCGGCCCAGTTCTTTCTCCCATGGAGGCCCCCCACACACCCTACTGCCCGTTTGATAGGTCAGATTGTGGGATTTGGCTGCTGGCTGCCCGTTGAATGAAATACAGATCCCCAAGTCGCTAGCCTGGTGTTCATGGAACTCTCCACTTTGTAACTCCAGTTTTTGTTCCGTTATTCAACTGGGTGTCTTAGATTCCAGCCTTTTGAATTTCTCGTTACTCTCCAAACTCACCCTATGTGTCCTCCTCTCTGTGCCTTTGACAATGTTTTTTTTTTTTCCATCTGGGGTACCTCCCCCTCTTCTCTGCTTATAAGACACCTGCCTGTTCTACAGGGACATCTCATGCCTGTAGCTTCTCCTGTGGTATTTGTCCTTCCTGAGAGGCTGGTTATGGTATGATTTCCATTTTAGCTGTTGTGCTGGTGCTAACATTAGTCTTACTGCTTTGTACATTGAGGGTGGTGGTGCATTATTGCTAATGTTACTTTTATTCTGTACAGAGGATCCTCAAAATTCAAATATAAATACCTTTCTAGCAGTTTTATAAATTTATTTGGCAATAACTTTCATAATTAGTTTGATTATTGACGTTTGGATGACTGATACATTTCTTACATGTTGAGTTAGAATTGGCTACAATAATACATGCAGTTGACTAAAATTGATCTGGTTTTGTCATTTTATCAGATTCTGGATGAAATTGAAGAACATAACATCAAAATCTATCACTTACCTGATGCAGAATCAGATGAAGATGAAGATTTTAAAGAGCAGACTAGACTTCTCAAGGTAAGAACTGGCTTCAAATCCACAACATAAATAACTCCTGTTTACTGTTATCTATGTTAAGATGAGAGAGGTTGTCTGGGTATGTTCAGTTATGATAGTATTTTTGCTTTAAATATATTTTGAGGCCTCAATGCAGTGGCTCATGCCTGTAATCCCAGCACTTTGGGAGGCCAAGGCGGTTGGATCAGTTGAGGCCAGGAGTTTGAGACCATCCTTGCCAACATGGTGAAATCTCACCACCACTAAACATACAAAAATTAGGTGGGTGTGGTGATGCACACCTGTAGTTCCAGCCACTCGGGAGGCTGAGGCAGGAATATCACTTGAATCCAGGAGGTGGAGATTGCAGCGAGCCGAGATCGTGCCACTGCACTCCAGCCTGACGACAGAGCGAGACTCTAGTTTCGAAACGTAAAAATAAAACTTTGATAAAGCTATCACCTAATGCTTAGAAATTTTATTGTAGGTTTAATTTGTTTTCATACAATTTGTCCCATGTGGGAAGTATCCGATGCTTTACAAGAAAATGTCGCATATCGCCAGCTTTCCAATTAAATCATGTAGTAAATAGCAATGTGTTAAGTCTGTGGTGATGTCCTTGTGTTACCAGTGAATGCTGGGGTTCTCTGTGTGGAGCCTGTCTACTCTGTGTGTGTCTTTCTAGGCCAGCATCCCATTCTCTGTGGTTGGATCCAATCAGTTGATTGAAGCCAAAGGAAAGAAGGTCAGAGGCCGCCTCTACCCCTGGGGTGTTGTGGAGGTGGAGAACCCAGAACACAACGACTTTCTGAAGCTGAGAACCATGCTTATGTAAGACATTTGGGGTGTAGCTTCTGGCAGAATTTGGCATGAAGCATATGGATTTCAAATGGGGTGTACATGTGGCCCCCAAGAGAGTTGCAGCCAGCACCTACATTGTCGTCTGCAGTGCTTCTCACATTGCAGAAGTCGTGTGGGGCTGCTGCAGCTTGGTGCTGAGAGCCCTCGCCCGGGCCCTCTGTGGCACTACAAAACTAGCTCTTCCCCTGTGGCCTGTAACCTGTAGCACCTTTCCTTCCTGCTAAGATCTTACATCTTTGATGTTAAAAGGAGACAAGACCTAAACTGGGGTCTGAGAGGTCCCCAGCACTGGTAAGGAAATGATCGGGGCTCCGTAGGCCCCTGATCTGCTGCTCCAGGCCAAGCCACGTCCGGTATCCTACTCTCCAGTCTGAGACTCACTGGATGGTCCTGGTTAGCTTTTTATGTCTTCCATTTATTAATAATTATTACAGATCTGACTATAAAAATAGACATTTTTTCCTGTAAAAATAAATTTTATTGCCAGACACAGTGGTTCATGCCTGTAATCCCAGCACTTCGAGAGGCCGAGGCGGGCAGATCGCGAGGTCAGGAGTTTGAGACCAGCTTGACCAATATGGAGAAACCCCGTTTCTATTAAGAATACAAAAAAGTTAGCCGGGCGTGGTGGTGTGTGCCTGTAAACCCAGCTACTCACAGAAGGCTGAGGCAGGAGAATCACTTGAACCCCAGAGGCGGAGGATGCAGTGAGCCAAGATCATGCCACTGTACTCCAGCCTGGGTGACAGAACGAGATTCCGTCTTAAGTAAATAAATAAATTTATTTCACATATATGCTTTTACTCTTTAAAAAATGAGGCTGATAAATAAATTTATTTCACATATAGTTGCATTGCTTTTACTCTTGAAAAAAAGAGGCTGATAAATAAATTTATTTCACATATAGTAACATGCATACATTGCTTTTACTCTTCAATAAAAGAGACTGAGACTGGGCGCGGTGGCTCACAGCTATATTCCTTGCACTGCAGGAGGCCAAGGTGGGCATATCACTTGAGGTCAGGAGTTTGAAACCAGCCTGGCCAACATGGTGAAGCTTCGTTTACTAAGAATAAAAAAATGAGTCGGGTGTGCTGGCTTGTGCCTGTAATCCCAGCTACTCAGCTACTGCTGAGGCAGGAAATTGCTTGAACCTGGGAGGCAGAGATCAAGTGAGCCTAGATCCGGCCCCTGCACTCCAGCCAGGGCAGCAAGAGCAAGACTCCATCTCAGGGAAAGAAAAAGAAAAGCTGAGAGTATTGTTTAAACTATATCTCTTTAATCAGAGGACTTCAACTGAGACTAATCTGGACAAATCAATGTTTTCATTAGCTGAAAGTTGCTACATATTTGCCACGTCTCACTTATTTTAACAATTTGTAGTGAGTTAAAATCAGCAGGATGTTACCATCCAAGCTGTGTCAAACACAATTTAATGGTTGCGTAAGAAGTTCAAGTGCACTCAGCCCCTCCAGGGCTACATCCTTGGCTGTCCTGATGCCCGTTATTGAATGGGGTGTAGAGGCTGAAGACAGGGCTTAGTGTCAATTGTGTGTTTCTCACAATGTGGGACAGTGAGCCACTCCTTTGCTGTCTCAATCCATTTCCCTGGATCCTGAATAAGTAGGAATGTGTTATAATGTTTGCTCATTCTTGCCTGCTTAAGTATTTGAATAAGCTAGCCAATTGAAAAAAAAAAAAAAGTGATTCATAAGATGAATGGAAGGTTAAGCTGTTGATAATATTCTTGCATCCAGAATATTAGTCCTTCACTTCATGGTCTTCTGCGTAGCGTAAGCTAACTAACTCTGCTCATATGAGAGTAATATATAAATTTTAAGTTAAAGGAGGCATGAATGTTTTAGCTACATTTCCATAAGTCCTTTAAGTAGAGTGAATTCTTTTTTTTTTTGTTTGTTTGT